CATGCCATCCTTCCAAATGTGTAGATGTTAATGATGTGGTTGGTGCATGTCATCGTAACCCAATTGCGTAGATAGATGCTCATGATGTCAATCACTGGATTGTCTTGTCCAGACTCGTTTATTTACAGTCCGCCGTCATATAGCTGGAATATTGCTGAGTGTGGCCTTAAATAACAAACAAACAAACAAAATGATGTCAATCACTGGATTGTCTGGTCCATACATGATTATTTATCAACCGCTGTCAAACACTGGATTATTGCTTAGTGTGGCGTTAAACAAAAATGTGTGTCAAATAACGTTTTTATCTTCAATACCCCTCCCAGCTGTTACTTATAGTTTCATGTCACGTTATGTTATTTGAAACTAAAAGCCAAAGGTCCATTTAATGTGTATTTTCTTACTGAAATTTCACTGACAATCGTAGTGTCAAGGTGCAAACTGAAATATCGATTTATTTTTTTCAGACATATCTATTTTTCGGCAGTATTACACATTTTTTTTAATTTCCAATCATGTATCTGATCATACACTCGAGCTTTGCTCCCGAAATAACACTGTTCATTGTAAAATGTAATTTATTCTATGACGTCATAATTGCACAATAGTTTGACGTCATGAACGAACAGGTGTCTCTGTCAAGTTTCCGTCTGGTGTGAAAAAATATATATACAACGTTTTCTGGTCGTTTTTAACCAGATTAAAAACCTCTCGGGTTTCTGTTTATTTTGTCATCAACATGTTACGTGACATTGAAAATATTTTGATGAGTATTATCTGTACATTTTTCGAATCATGTTTATTTTTGTCCTACACGAATAGTCATGAGATACGTCATATATAGTTGAATATCCCTTGTGAAACCAACACATAGATTTTAATGTATTATAATGTTTTACACGTTTCTTTTCAAAAACACATTGCGACTGAAAAAATAGTTGAGATGAAATTGTCGAGATGTTTCAACGCGAATATAGCGTAGTAGATAACCTTCCCCACTAATTATTTTTAAAGCCTTCGAGGTGCGGTCGTATTATTATTATTGTTGTTGTTGTTGTTGTTGTTGTTGTTGTTGTTGTAGCTATTACGGAAGTTACGTTTACATATGTGTGTTTATTTCTTTGATAAATCAAACTGTCATATTTGTAGATTTCAACATAGTCGAGAAGAAACCAGTTCAGGATAACATTTTCACAAATACATCTCTACACGTGTGTATGTTATATTGTTTATAGTTTTGGAGTTTACGTGCATAACTGGCCCAGTGTTATTGCACTATTGTATTGTTTTCACTTTGAGCGGGGTAGCGGGTAAGGATAGACGGGTAGAGTATCGTAAAAATATGGAGGACATTTCCCATTATGTGTGTTGCAGTTCCCATCTTCCCGTGTTTATTCAGGGGAATAATTGACATGCCTTGGCATGTGTTTGTGACGGGTGACACGGGTGGGCAGGATAAGCTCACCTATTCGCGAACACCTGGTGTCGTCACTATTGGATAGTAATCCACACACACATGATTATAATATAGTCAGAATCGTACAACGGACTCTGCTTTTAGCAGAGATTTCTTGTGATTATGGGACTGGTTTTGTCGCTTTTAATTTCTTTAGTGTCTTTAGTGCTTGGTATGAACATGTAACTCCATCTATGATATTCGTTTATATTTGCCTATCAAATATACAAATGAGTATAGTGATAAATGATTTTGATCTGTTTTGGGACGAAATAATTGATTTTGGGGTGTTAGTTTTATATTGCAAGCTAAACAATTTTGGAGACTTTGAACAAAACCAGCATTGTTATTTTCATGTAATCAAAACAGAAAACATATGATACTGCACAGGTGAATAAAAGCTGGAATTTTTTAAGAAGTTGCTTTTACAAAAAGTGCAGGGTTTGGTAAAAGAAAATGGTGTACATTCAACGTGACTTGACATATTCAATCCCTCGTCAATCCTACATGTAAAAGAATGCGTGTATTTATACATTTACGTTAGCCACGCGGAAACCAATTGAACTCCCTTTACAGTTTATCACAAAGTTGAATATAAGAAATATAATCCTATACTTTTTGTTGAAAAAAGTCAGAGAGTGCACGAAGAAGCTGGTCGGCATTTTACCCCATGTGGTTTAAACACGAAGCCAAGATCTGACATGTAATTAAACAAGCTCGCCTTCTAATTATGAAAACTTGTAAGCTGGAGATATGAAAATAATGGAGAGAGGTTGGGTTCATTCAAATGACGATCGGAGAACTTGTCAACTCTAAGTGGCTCAATTTTCTCTCGTGATTGGCGTATGAGACTATATACAACAGCGAATGATTGACATCTTCCGAACGCACGAACCGAGCACGAGAATTTCCCATCGTGCTTTGCATGATGCTCACGATCCAAGCGGGTGGGAGGTGAGCATCTAAGGTCTAATTGGACCAAACGGAGGTCGCGATATAAGACCCCGGATAAAACACGAGATTCGTATTTCGTTACCAAACCCTCACCACTGTTAAATTGGCCCGGGCTGTGATAGGCAATTCCATAGCGCGCATTTGTTTTGCACGTGTTGTAAAGTTTGTTTCCATATAACCTTGTAATTAAATCAATTATGTTATTTACTGTACGTGATAAGAAATATTACTAATCTTCAACGTTGGTGTGTTTGTTTGTGTACATTGTGAATGGATTAGTGAAATAACTTATCTATTTCACATCAGTCGTTAGGTAACGAAATGTTCCCGAAGCAAAGAAATATGTTTTGTCTACAAAAGCATTGGAATGTTGCAAGGAAATTATGCAATTTTACCGTAAAAAATGAATTATTACATTCTATAGTTGTTATAATATGAAACAGTAAATTTATCCCAAAGTCGCAAAATATGATAATAGTAAATTTAATATACTTTCAAGTCAAATTAAATGTATATAATGTTAACTAAATAGTAAAGTGTAATTGGCATTGCAAGGTTGAATTCTATTTCTATCAATAACAAAGCGATAAGTTACCATACTTTCAAATCACACATTGTCATATTTTGCACTGTGAATGCTCCAGTTACGCCATGTTTCAAATGCACGTAAAATTAGTCCACAAATTAACTACAAAAACAAACATAAAAAGTTACACCTTCTTAAAAAATGGAGTAATTGGGGGTTTACCAGAAAACTTAAATATACAACTCCGATAACGGTAAACGATGCCAAAGCCCCGTGATTGAAAAGTTTAAAACAACTATCATTTTATTATGTCAGTTGTTTGAGAAAAGTCCCAATTATCCCGAATACAAGGTACCGCAATCTCTCCATCCTGCTCGCAGAAAACGCCCAAACGTCCGACCCTCAACGAAAAAAATTGCCATCTAATTTGTTCTGCCTCCAACTGAACGTTTCGCTGTACATTAAACCTTCTCTCACTCCCCGTCTCGCAGGTGTAACGCCAGATGTTCACAGCTACTGAACCCTTTGCGATTGTCATAGAGTCAAAAAATCAGTTTACGGAGATATCAAAATATTTTTGTTTACTTGATTGGATTTAGCAATGTTTTTCGAGAACTCTGCTATCGTATCTGCTTACATTAGCAGAAAGTAGCCCGCTCCCCGAACCACACTCGTCTTAAATAAATATACTTTTTCCGGTAAAGATGGAATTTTATTAAGGAACGACAATTTGTGGATTTTAGACGCTCGTAAATATAATTGTTCTTTAGTAAGTTTGTTATACTTGCAGAGTTTAAATAACCCAAACCATATGTTCAACAGATCATCTAATATAAAATAGGGCGATATAGAGGTTGGTAATGCATTGAATGCCTTCAATAGATATTTACTTATATAAACATACTTTACGAATGAAACCATAATTATTAATAATTGCCAAACTTAAATTATAAAGTAAAACGTCAAATAATAAGTAGTATAAATGAGTATCCCTTAACAAGCTACCAATGTACATGTCTAAATATTCAAAGTGGTTTAAGAGGATACATACTAAAGCGTTTTACTAATGATAACATTTACGTTGATTTATTGTTGATGCTGATTCTTACTGTAAATGCTCTTATAACTGACCTCAGCAACGTTAGTGCAAAGATATTCAGTTTCATTTAATCAATTTATTCTTAGAACAAGGGTATTGGAACTGAACATATTTTTTTATCAAATTGAATGTAAAGCAGACATTTCTGAGTACTCTTGTGCCTTCTTATCAGAAACGTCAGTGTTTTTGTAATCTTTCACCGAAGAAAATATTTCTTTAATGTCAGGAACACAGTATAAAAACTAAAAGTAAAATAATTCAAAGCAGCTTTGGGAAGTTTCCTTATTTCAATTTTTTCCCCCAAAATGTGAAATTCGAAAAGTTTGAAACTTTGGTTGAGGCAACTATGGAACAGCTGAAATCTGATCTTATCCCCCACCGTTACTCATAATATCCACTAGGAACAGTGCCCTAACGTGGAAACATGACATTCCCAGCATATCTGCCACTCTTTCAAAAGACAAGGACTTCCAAGAAGCGTTTAGGAAAGCTCTTGTTGTATTCAACAAAGCAAACGCGCTGTTGAACGCCTTGAGGGATTGTGCGAGCGATCTTGCCGCTTCCTTTTGACACTGGGGATCTTTTTGTCAACTCGAAAGCTCAAGAGTCAATTAAAAACGTATCAGAACGATTCCTAAAAAGTCTTTGGTCCAGTTTATGAATATGAACATAATTTCTGCTCAGGACATATACAACCTTGACGAGTGTTGAAGACCATATGTAAGACAGGTTAATGAGAACTGAACAAAGCTGAACCGAACCTGATCATCGAGAGGCACACGTGCTCATCGAGAACTCGACCCCTCCCCTCCAGGTCTTGAGAGACGAGACGCGGCTCAGCCATCTACCTCTTTCCTGAGGGACGGAGGCATGCGTTCGGCAATTTCATTGGTACGCCGGTCCAGGTCGTATCTTCTGTCTTCAAGGTGGGAGGGGGCTCCAAGGGAGACAATGGCCAATTACCCTATTGACATGTGTATTTTAGAAGTGTGCAAGGAATAGACCTCTGCTAGGCGGACCCTGTTGGTCTAAGTCTCTCTATGATAGGTTGGTGGAAGTCTGAGAAACCATTACGTCAGCAGTTAATGAAGCGACGACTCTCCCGTGGGTATTCTCCGATTGACGCGGATTAGCAACTAATAATCGTCTCGCATGTCGTAGGGTCGGGAGTGTCAACAGGCGCTGTCAAACCTACACTGTATCATACACAAACTGTCGTCTACGAGTCGTCTGCTTCGTAAAGAAAATCCAATATTTTTTCATGAATGATTGGTCTCCGATTTTGAATCAGTTTCCTGGATTTATGGAATTTTTCAAGGAAAAAGTTTAATCTTCATCGCCAGTCCGTATATCTCCCTTCTGAAGAGGCATAGTTGTCGTCTGTCGTACTTTTGGATTGGAAGAAAAGTTGCAGCAGACGACAACCCCATATATCACTCTCACTGAACCTCCATTCCAAGGACGGTAGTCTAGAAAAATAAATAACTTTGGATAAGAAGGAACTGTCTTCAGCCATGATGAACGGGATTCTAAACTCCGGTCCAGCACAAATGCCGACGTTCCAGAATCATTATTCTACCGGCGGACATTTTAGTCCGATGTACTCTCAGCAAAGACCTTCTTTTGCCATCCAGGAAATCCTTGGACTAAATCCTTCTTGTCGCCAAAATTCGAGTCCAGATCTTGTGGACCATACATCTATGGGTCCATCGGGACTTGCAGGAATGTACTTTTCTAGTCTTAATTCCTCGACGTCAATGCCGACGGACAACTCGACGGCGCAATTTTTCAGAGAGCAACAGCAGCCGGCGACGTCCACGTTTTGTCCTTGGCGGTTTGATCTTTCTCAGGGTCCTCCACCTCCAAATATAACTGCATCCCGGTTTTCGGGGGTGTCACGGGTCAACGATGACTTTCCATTCAAGCAAAATCAACAAGAAGAAGGTAAGAAATTCAAAATCTCAAACCAGAAAAGCCGAGTTTATCATTTTAAATTTCACAACATGACAATGTGCTGTTACTTTACTACTTATACCTAAAGGAGTGGTTAAGGGTCTCTGATAGTTATTACACATTGAGGAACCAGAGAAAGTTTTAAAAAGATTATTCTGGTTCTTCATTGAAAGTAACAAATGGCATTCATTAGAATGTTGAATCCAAAACGAGCAGGTAATTTTATCATGACAAAGTAGACATAATTTATGGATAACAACTTCTTTATTTTCTTATTAACTTTCTTTATTTAACACTTTATTTACTTTTAAAATAAAGATGTTACTATCCATAATTTGTGTCTACTTTGTCATGGTAAAATTACCTGCGCAATTACCTTGATTCAACATTCTGAGGAATGCCTATCAACCAATTCATTTTATCATGGCCTGCATTTTATTAAAACATTCGGTTAAAACAAGCATCCAGGTTGATCACGGGGTACATGACAAAGTTGTATATTTCTAAAGATGGAAAACACCTTATGTTAGTAGAGAAAAACCATATTAGATTTGCCGGTGTTCAAAATCAAGGATAACGTTTGATGTCTTTACTTAAAACCGTCTAAACTCAATGTATACTTGTGTATATAGGTTTGTTCTTCGAAACGACAGTGTTCTAATGCGTTATTTGAACAATAAATGACTCTGCCAGATAATAATAGGTTCTCTTCACCTCTAAACTATAAAGACAAACATGTTTAAATTATGAAACATCCCATACGTACAATTCATTAAAAGCGAAACATACTAATATCGCCATCAGAATGATTAGTTTAAATGCTTTTCCATAAATAATGTTTCGTTTTAAGTTGGTACGTGACACTGAATCAGGTAACAAATAATTGGTAGCCTTCAAAATATCTAGTGTATGTGCAAATATTATCCAGAAATCACGAAGAACAAACATTATAACAAGATAGTCTCGTATATAAATTTAATAGAATCTTATTTAGCAGAAACATACACAAGTGTACTGCCAAATTCGACCAGCACCCTGTTGCAGTGATAATTCAACACATGAATACTTCGACTTTTTCTGATATATTTTAAACTTAAATCATTCGGTATAGACCATGTATGTTTGTCTTGAGACTCGGGTCCCCCGCTTTTCCTCTTCCTTACTGCAACCCATCTCGCCTATCATGACGCCCCAGAAATATCTCTCCCATCAGACTTGCAAATTTCTTCTCAAAATAATCCAAGATACTCATATTTTGTCTGAAAACATTTTGGGGATATCATTTTACAATATCACGGTAAATCCACCGACCATCACTTCAATATGGGCGTGAAGTGATCAAATGTCACGTAAATGTTCTTTTAACAAGCATATTTGTAAACGTGGCTATTTGATGTGTACTCCCGTGTTTCAGTAAACAGTATAATGAAAAGTGAAATGAGAATAAAATAAACTGATTTGTACAAAATACTTTTTAACAGAAATATTTTCTCAGTATCATCCCCATTGTTTCGTTATATAATTGGGATTTTCAATTATTTATCTGTATTTAAACAGGATAGTATTTAGTAACTTTTTATTAGTTTAAACTAGAAGTTATAAATGTATTCTTAAAATAGCTCAGTTATTGCGTCAAGATGTACTTTTTTTAAAATTTGACTTATTGATAAGGTTATTCCTATCAGTATTATCTGATGTAACGCGTTAAGATGTAATATCAAATAACTATTTATTTTCCGAAGAACTTGTTATTTCTTGTTTTATTATATAGTGATTTGTTTCACGTTTTTCGGTATAATAGGATTAGGAATTTATAATTCATCCTGACACATGTAAAAATCTAATCGCGACAAAACCCTTCCCATAACCGTCAAAAAAAGAAGTATCTGCGATTAGCAGAGTCCATTGTACGATTCGACAATATCATAAGCATGTGTTTGAATCACTATCCAATAGTGAAGATACCAGGTGTTCGCGAAAACATTTTCATTTACATTATCAGGCTCTCCTCTCTTTATAAATCAACAATGAAAAACACAAGTAAAACATTTACTCCAAAATAACAATATTTTCCCTCTGCTTTATATCCAAAACAATATTCCCAATAAATCAGATATCTTATATCCCCATAACAATAACTGAAATGAAAATAAAAACTCTTCCGTCTCCCTGTTTCTCGTAGTTTTCATAATAAAATATCTGCAAGTCCCACGGGAATCAAGCGTGCAATGTCAAAACAAACACATTGACCATGTATATGGCCCGTCTCTAAGACCCCTTAGTGGAGTGGAGGTGGTATGTATTTTGGCAAGCTTAGGACAAGGTTGAAATATTCCTCCAAGATGGCTCGTATTTCACAATATTGAGAAAATCATGTCAAAACTGGGATTAGAATCCCCCTACATCAGGTTCTCACACAACAAGTGGGATTCCACTTCGTGAGAATTTCGCCAAGTTTGAAACTCAGTAAATCTGTTTGAAAAAACATGTTCATGTTTTATTTCTACAAATCGTGAGAGAAATTCTAAAGAGTTATGGTTTGGTATGAATATTGTATATTTCCCATATTAGTGTTCATATCTTTGATCTGCAATGGATGATAGTTGCATACCTTTGTTGTTTTGTTGTTGAGTTAATAATTTGTGTATTTTGTCCGCACTAAATGTGTTTTTCATGTATAAAAAGACGGTTTCTTGTCTTTCCATGCTCCATGTAACTAACGATAGATTAAACTGGGCAAGTGACATTAAGCGCGTGTCCAAGTATTGTAAAACATGCTATATCAGTATATGACCAACACATCAATGACCACGGCATATTTTTCTCTCAATGTTTAAAACTTTTAGCAAGTATTATTCAGTAATTGCAATATTTAGAAAACTTATATTTTTACAAATATGCACACGAATTTCCATTTGCACTAATTACAACAAGACTTCCGCATGGTTGATTCCTTAAGCCTACACAGATGTCAATTTCACATGTCCATTTCAAGCAATGAATGTATTCCACAAACCTGGACATTCCACAAAAATATCATAATCCATAAGAATTAAAGTTATGGAATTTCTACATTCCTTCTTCCCCAAAACATTTAACGTTCAAACACGCGTCTTGTGTGTCTCATCATATCGGCAACGGGTAAAGGGAGGGTTTACATTTTTGCTAATTTATTTTCCTACTTCAATTTAACAAGTGTGCAAAATAAATAAAACAGGGGAAAAAGTCAAGTGAAGAAAATAAACACGATCAGCTGTTGATGCGAGTACGAGAAATGAGGCATCAACTAGGCTTGTCGATAACAGAGGAGGAGGGGAGAGGTAATGTTACAACCACCAATAGGTCTTGTCCATTTCTGAAAGGGAGAAATATATATACCTAATAAAGTGGTAAAATAAAGTTAAACATAGATTGTTTTTAGTTTGATTGTCACAATGATAAGGAGAATTAGGAAACATTATTTATACGCAATTGATAAATATACATTTAAACATTAATAGATACGGTATCAGTCTGATACATGTTCTTTAAGTTTGATTCTTTCTAAATGAGATGTAGATCATACGGGTTTTATTTGCTATAAGAAACAAAAGAAAATATGAATATTGTAACTTGTTTTTGTAAACATGATATTCTTAAACCGTATTTCCGATAAAGTTCGTTTTTACTAGATGGTGATAGATTGATAAATTTATTACTGCGATAACATCTTAGAATTTCATATATGTTGAATTTGAAGAACATATTTGTATGTTGAAACACAGAAAATGTATACCGGGTAACCGGAAATATTTAAAACAATTATCGTGAAGCTGATGGAACCGCACACCTGCTGATGTGAAAGTCGTTATTTATTGTTTAACTTGCACTTAAAATTTGTCGAACAAATATAGAGTTGTGTACACAGTATTTATAAAAGATGGTCGTTAGGTAAGAAGAATGCAGAATCACATTTACTCACAAGTGATTAAATAATGACACCAAATTCTGCACGCAAAGCGCGAGGTATCGAGATAAATCTACATTCCTTCATTGAACGTTCTTTGATGACGGCCATATTGCCCCAGTCACGAGCTTTCTCTAATCGTTAAGATAAATATTTGGCCAATTGTCTCCCTTTATGTCAACATCCCTCTTTAGTGTCACTCGACTAGTGACTTAAATGTGATTAGTTTATGAAGAACCTTGTCAAACTTTATCAAATAATCCACTGAACAAATACCCACGTCCGCGCATGACCGAGGCCGGTTCGTGTGCCGTAAACTGGTGTCGCTATGGTGTCGTGAATGGCTTAGATTTTTCATGTCAACATAAAAGGCTGGCTATTGTTAAGTATGTTAGTTTATTGTAGCTCAACAGGTGCGATCTCTTCTGAATGTTTGTAGTAAAACGTTTCCAGCTTTCCGATCTTACATGCAGCTTGGTCAACGAGTACTCAACCGCGGCTTAATACATGTAAACCCTATCATGTGTTATTACCTATGTCATTTCAATTCTCTAAATAAGATCCCAGGTAAACAGATGTGTCACTGTGACATTTCTGAAGTAAATCTAAATAATTTGTTGAAATGACAATGTCTTTTTATGTGTTCTAGGATAGCAATTGCACTTGGCGGAATTGTTACGTTTTACAGTTTTCACCACCTGTGATTAATTGTTGTCAATTTAAAAATATCTTCAATATCTTCGTTGATTGTCCTTGCCATGTATGCTTACAGACGTGTCAAAGGAATATAATATTCTCACACAATAATAAGCACAGTTAACAAACGGAAATCGCAGTCTGACAAAAGACAACTAGTCAAACAGAACCAGGACAAATCCGTGGCATAAAACATAAAATATCTTTAAAAATCAAACTTTCTTTTTCCCTTTATCTCTGTTTAAATTTTCTTTCTCGAACAAACGAATATTTACGATTAAACACAACTAATTTGAAAATGTCCTGAAAACTTGAAACAGCTTATCACGAAACAGGAACTAAACATTATGCCTTTACAGAATAATACCAGAAGAAATAATAAGATGATTATGTTTTAACAAGCTACATCCAAAATCGATTAAGATTCTTTATTACGTGGATGAGACTTTTCTAATGACTTCGTTATGAAATAATGATTGATTTCTCTTCTTCAACCCAGGCCTTCATTTCATTTAATATCAGTCATATTTAATATAATACACAATTTGAATAAATCTGACAACGAAACGTTTCAAACAGAATATCAAGCTACAAGGTATACAGTTTATGTTAACAAATTATAACGATTCTTTTTAAATGGTTATGAATTACGTTTGTAAGTTTTTAATTGCAGGTTTGTTTTAATATAATTGTGATAAAACAGTAATCAAAAAGTGCACATATATCCAAAGGAAAGGGTTGAATTCTTTCTTCATTTAACTTCTTTACATTGAAACTCGCAATCACCTAGTATCATTAATATTTGATAGTGATTCATAAACAATGCATAATATGATATAGTCGGAATCGTACAACGGACGTTTTTTCGTCAAATATGTCTTATGATTCTGGAAAGGGTTATGTCGGTTTAATTTACACATAAATCATTCAACGAAATTAGCAGGCTTGTTATATGATTAGATAATTCATATAAGTAAAATGTATTCTTTTAGCTGAAACTGTGAGAAGCATTGTGATTGTCCCATTGTTATCAGAGGTTGCGCATTGCCATATTACGAATTATTATATCACCAAGTTTACGCATGACGCGTTCCATTTGCCATATTGCAACCACTGGTGCCTCACAGTACCCTAGAAGTGTGTGTGTTCACAATCAGTGCCAACACAATCAGGACGGAAACTCCTTCAATTAGCTTCCTGCCAAATCTTCTCGCCCTAGCTGTGAAAATGTATACACAGTGTACACCTATTACGCACGTGTATTAGCAGTTGTATCACTGTATAGACGAAACCCAGTCATAATAGACAGTATAGAAGCTTTCACCTGCGTAGCCGGGGGTGTTTTCCTCGCAAATCAGAGGTGTGTTTCCCATTGTGTATGTGTCAGGTAAATTAGCTTTTTAGGCGAAGTCGATAGTCCAAGGACATCGCCGTTCATTCAGTTGGAACACGTAATACTCATATTTGTGTTGGGGAGTTTGAAATGGGGGTAATTCGCGGAGCTTGATAGCTTTATTAGGAATCCACTTTGCGGGAGTTGCATATAGAAATAACTTTAAATCGAACATGTATTTAATAATACATTAACCTTTGCAGACCGAGTTCACGTATCTGGGTTGATATTATTTGTTTAAGGTTCAACTAGAGAATGTTATTGTTTGATAAAAAAACATTTTGTGAGCTTTTTGTGATGAAACAAAATGCAGTTCTATAAACATTTATGATTGGATAGAAATAATAAACATCGATTTGAATCAAGTCTTTGAAAAACATTTAGAAGTGTTACACTTAATAATAACTTCTTTATTATGAGGAACACAGCGTTTCGGGGTATATGCTTACTCCTTCATCAGGTGATGAACCTCATAATAAAGAAGTTGACATCCATAAATTCTCTACCTTATTGATTTGAATATTTGCTCATCGAGTTGAGTAATGTGTCGTTTATTTACACACGTACAACAAGCATGCTTTCCTGAAAAGAAAACTTTAATTAAATTGTATTGGACTAAATAACAGATTTTCGTTAATTTATTGTCATCTTGATGAGTGTTTTTCCGTTTTTGTTCTTTTTTTTTACTATCATGTAATACTTAGCAATGAAACGTATGTATATTGGAGAAGACCATTCGGGCTGTACAACTTTTAATCGATCCATTGGTCTTTTCGAACAAAATATGTTTAAAATCAAAATCAATTTTACACGTTACATCGGCACTATTTACATAACCTATATAGGTCCGTGTTTGCATAATCTACATAAACTCCCATCCTTTCAACTTAATGAAGTTTAAAATATACAAACAGCCTATAATGTTTTCTAATTGTTAAAAAGGATAAACTTCCCCCGCCATGGGTAGGCCTATACACAATTGTATGATTGTATTCTAACCACTTGCAGTTGGAGTAAATTACACACCCACTTTAAGTAAACTGAACCAATAACGAAAATTACACGTTACCAATCAAAGAAAAACCGTTTACAGCAGATTTTCTCGGTAACCGTTTACTATTCAGTTCAAGCATAGCGATTTAAAGCATCTCGTGTATAGATCTGATGCTGTACTACCCACGACTCCAATTATGGGTTAAGATACCATCATTAGCCAAACCAGACCATTCTCAGGCGGTACAAGAAGACGGTAGCCCAAGCGGAAGATATTCAGGGGTGGCAAACGGTTTGCAGCGGCCCTTAATTAACTCTACGGGACATGGTACTGCTACAGTTAATATAACAAGAAAAGCGTTGACAACGACGGATGCATGGACAATGAAACAGCTTAATTAAGGGAGCAAACTTCGGGGTCTCTTAAGAAAGGTGCTAGAGACGTTGAAAAGCTTTTAAGAGCTTCTTAAGGACTAGGAAAGGGGAGCCGACACCTCGTTGAATGTTGAAAACCGTCTTCGTTAGGGACGGCATGTCATCCGTCACAATGAAAGTCAGCTCCCGAGGAACAGGAGGGTGTGGGAGGGGCAAGGGGGGCGACCGGGGGGCACGGGGCTTTGATGAACAATCTGACATTTTGTTAGTCAATTTAGACAGGTACTAGGCCACCTGTACTGACGCCTTTGACGTGGATTGGGATTTCAGATTTTGATTTTAATGAGGACGGCTAATGAAGTTTTTGGATTCGGAGACAGTTTTGTAATTTGGGGTTGTATTGGTTTTAAGGATGTCTGCATGTTTGATACAAGTGTTTTAAAACTGAACTAGACTGATATGAAATGTCCCTTTTCAATACTATATGCAATAGTAATTTTATTTTATTTTATTTATGTAACTGTGAAGAATGTATTTTCTTATACACATCGTTATGTGTGCTATGTTTTATTAAGATGGGATGAATATGTTAAACTTTGTATTGTAAAAATCCACATTAATTATATTTAAGCAGATTAACCTGCCGGACGAAAGAAAATATACATATAAAATTGAATTTGACCATACAATTACAAAAGTTATGAAAATATTACTAGGATGAAAATAGTCACCGAAACACTGCATGTTTCAAATACATCACCATCAAAAAGCATTTCTTGTTCCTTTCATTTTTAGCCACCATCAAACATGGGTGTACAGGTTCTTTTTCCCGGCAGTTTATTTATGTCAACATAGCTAACTGTTAAAACTGTTAAACTGTGAAGTACGTTGTCGTTATAATGGGGTGGTGTCCACATAGCAATGGCGTCATGATTATCGTTTCAAACAAAAAACTAATTATGTAATTTTAAAAGCGACAAAACCATTTCCATAATCATAATCATCACTAAAAGCAGAGTCCGTTGTACGATTCCGCTTTTATCAACCGCATGTCTTTATGAATCACGGGATTCCGTATAGCGTGAGACTAACCTGCCCTACGCAAGTAACGTGACAATCCGCATAAGGCGAATCCGGATAATACGAAATTATGTCCTCAATGCCCAGGATTAAACATGGTGTAGTTGTCATCTCACCGTATATAGTTGTTTGATTCCCAGTTCTATTAATGACGGATTTTTAGACCTTCTAGTGAGTGAGTGACTGAGTGAATTGGGTTTAACGCCGCTTTTAACAGTATTCCAGTTATATCACGGCGTGTCAGCTTAATGTGGGAGGAAAGCCCGAAGTGATGCAGGTCTTAGACGTTTACCACTTAGGTGAAACCCACGAGCACGGGTATGGTGCTGACAAACCTAGAAACATAATCGGGGTCGAACCGGGATTCGAACCCACAATCATAGGCTTCTGGAGTGCCCAAGGGAGGCAACTCTGCACAGCGAATTGCGGCGCCTTAGACGACTGGGCCACCCGTGCCCCCTTTAGACCTTCTATATTTGCTACGAACCAACACTTGATAAGTGATGTAAATGACTTTGACTACGCTACTTCGTTATAAGTTCAAATAACGATGTTATTAACGTCTAGTTCAATACTATTGTGAGTGAGTGGGTGAGTTAACGTCGCTCTTTGTGGCATCACTGTAAATCGTGACGGGAACATCAACACTTGCCTTCACTTATTGTACCTATATCGGGATATCTCTACAAATAATAGTCTAAACGTGTTATGTATGAACATACTAGGATCTTTTTTATTCAGGATCAGCCGAATGTGAAATAAATCTATTTTCGTCCAACTTAAAAATATAAATTCTTCACAGCAAAAGATTATTGTGTTTTCACACGACCAGAAACTGTATTTATTTTAGATATTCATACAACGTCTCTCCAACTCAACGGTAATAATAACACCATTAAACATGTGATTAAAAGAGCCAAAGCCACATACGATTACTGTCGTGAAACTTTACACCAAGTTCTGATTCAATTAGTGTTAGAAATCAAAAGCTTTCAGCAGCCATACTTCCTTATTAAATCTAATGAATTATATCTTTGAAAATCCACCCTTCTGAGAACAATAATTTGAAAACAATCAATTATTCATAAGTCACTATTGCCATTGGGGTTTTCCATGATACTGTTGTGCGCGATAGTCCAACACGTACTCAATACATCTTCAACCAGATTAAACGTCACGTTTCTCCCAGATATTGCAGCGCCTGGGAGGACCAGGTCATTTAAAAACAATGGCTATCGACCTTGATGACCCGGATATGACCTTATCACGCAGGCGCACAGGGGGTCAACTACGACTAAAGTTTTCCCAGCGGGTGTATGAAATATTTGTCTAATTCGGCCTTGGCACGTGGGCTAAACAAATATTTATGTTTTTGTTTATTTGTAGTGTCGCGCCAGGCATGCGTACAACAGGAGAAAGCACAAGAAGCCAGCATGTGTGGCAAAAAACAAAAGAAACGGCGGAGGCACAGGTGAGTGTGTGTGAGATGAGGGCGGGGCAGGTGGAGGAGGGGTGGGAGGTGGGGTGAGGGTGGAAATAAAGCGGGGATAACCGAGAAATGAAAGAAGAAGGAAGAAGATTATTTTATTCAAGGGGCACATATTCTGAAATGCAAGTGTGAATATTTGCACAAAAAGCATACAATGACAGGCCATATGGCCTGTTAGCACAACACCGCATATATACAAATATTCTTTAAATATAAATATGCGTATATAAATATTTAATAGGAGAAAAGGATAGCAGTTATTCTTCATATTATTAGAGAGATAAATCTAATGGCATCCGAAAATCATCAAACTCAATCCAAAACATTATGACTACATGACCGTAATCGAAACCCGTTATTTACATGAACATTTAGCATCATTACAATATCATAATGTTTTATTGTAAAAAGTGACAACTATTCAGTCAACATCTTTTTTACTCCTTTTCAAGTCATTTTCTCGAAATACCATCTCAAGAAATAATGTCCCGATCACTCGTAGTGCAGTCATCCTTTTCTTGAATTCGATACTATAAATTCGATACCATGCATCTGGTATGTAGCTTTTGAAGTATATTAGACATTATTTGCAGGAACATTTAGTGAGGTTTGATAGTTCGGTATATATTACATGTGGTACATTAATATATTGCCGAGGGGAAAGTGTTTCACTGAGTATTTCCGTGTCCTCCTATTTAATATCTGTCTGGACTCGTGAAGATCCTGGGTAGAACAGGTCTTCAGCAACCACTTTGCTGTCAGCCTCGCTGGCTGGTTGGCGCATGTCATCGTATCCCAATCACGTAGATCGATGCTCATGATGTCAGTCACCGGGTTGTCTGGGCCAGACTCGATTATTTACATACCGCCGTCATATAGCTGGAATATTGCTGAGTGCGGCGTTCAGCAACAAACAAACAAACATGTCTGATAACCCAATGCTTGTCACAGTTGAGGTTCGGTAGTTGTGACAATGTGATTGCGGTAGTTGGTGTTCATGCTATCAACATCTAGTTTGCGCCAGACTAATATTTACAGGCCGTCATAGATCGACTGCACCACTGCTATGACATAAGAGAACATCCATCGTTTCGTTGGCGGAACAAAGAGTTTGCCAGCTGATAATCGATCATAGATCGACTGCACCACTGCTATGACATAACAGAACATCCATCCTTTAGTTGGCGGAACAAAAAGAGTTTGCCAGCTGATAATCGATGCATTATTCTTTATGAATTAGCTGACGCCGCTCTGTCGATGTGCTAAGTTGACGTTTTCTGTTAAGCTGCTTGAATCTATCCAACTGATAACCTTGAAAAGAAACACAAACTGATATTCCATATCGTTGAAACACTATTCCATTATTTCCAAAAACGATCGCCTGTGCAATATGCTTGTGAAAAAGCCTCTGATCCCCCATCACATTAATTCGCTTAAACAACCAATTACAAGTTAATTAAAATCCCCTGTCAGTCACAACTGTCATCTAATAATCCTATAACAAATGAGATAATTTGACCTATGTCTCCTAACACTAATGTCTTATCTCGCACGCCATCTTGTCTGACAACGACGTCACGTGACGTCGCAGGCAATGAAGACACGTGACTGATGACGTGACGTCACTAATTGCAACGACGTTGTATCTGTCACTGTCACCGGCCCCAGTGGAGATGTCCTCGCTAATAGGATAATGTACACCCCAAAACGTCTTTATGCTTCATCAACGTTTCTTAGGAAATAAACAGTTTCCGGGGAGGGTATCGATTTCCCGTCAAATTAAAAGACAAATATTAGCGATCACGGGCGTTTCATGGAAGACAATTAGTCTTTTTGACTTGTGATTACTGGGAGTCCTTATTGTCCAAACTTTAATTAATGATATCAAGTTCCGCTCGTTTGACCGGGCGCTTCCTAATTAGTTGTTCTTCGACGACCGACTCGGATCCCTACGCCCGCGAGTGTATAGTCGGCCCTACGCCGACTTCAACGTTGGCAGCATGCCAGAATGATCAAAGATGTCTCTGGCAGTATCTGACGTTCAAATTAGCCGAATTTACCGCTAGGTTTCCAAGGACTCCGTGCACTTAGCCTTGCTTCTATAATTGACATATACTCGCTATTGGACAGGAAAAAATGATGTATTTCGACACTGAACAAGGCGACTTTGCTGGGGGGCTAGTGACGTAAGCGTAGGGTCACACAGGCGACCTCTTTTAACGAGGATTCACTACACACCATACGCAGGCCTTTAGTAGAAAGAAATTTTAATGAAAACTTGATATTCTTGAACAGGTTTGGGTTTAGGCCTTTTGTTCCATATGCATATTTTGTGTCCTCTGTATTAGATCTGGGATAAGGATTTGATATCTTGAAACTGTTTGGAAGTAATTTGCATTATAATATATGTTTAGAACATAACGATTTAATGTAAATTAATTTTTAGGTCATTTTAACTCTTTTTTGGTTTAAGATAATTATTTTGTAGGACTAATTAATGTAAAAAATAATTAAGTATTTGTATATACTAGTTACATTGATTCATGTTGCGGTTATAATATTGTTCGGGAACTGATGACAAAGATTTTCATGACGTCAAGGTTTTCTGTGTCAAAGGGGAGCAATCATTGAGAACCCAAAGCCTCAAATCCTAATAATACATTTATTTCTAGTTTGGTTAATTTAACATAAATTTTACAATATAAAATCAACTGAAGACACTGCATAGGCCAATATTCAATAGTTAGACTAATTAGCATGGTGTAAATACAAAATTGGCCCTTGTGAAAAAAAAGAAAGAATAAAAGTATTAAATCAGAAACAAGGCTCAATGTAGTTTAAAAAGTGTGAAAGATTCGACGCCAAAATAGCCCCGTTGACAGCACCAAGCTTGTGTTTAAATTACTTTGTTAACAATTCGTTTGTTTATCAAGTCAAGCTGACAGGACCGCAGAGAATCCCCACTGCGCCGAATCGTGGCACGTGACAATGATAACTTCCGCTGTGGGACCAGATTATTCACAATAAAACCCCAAGTTTGGAGATTAGCTTCATGTTAGCGGCGATTATCACCCTGGTGGCACGTGAAGGTGTCCGGCTGACACGTGTGGTCAGCTAAAGTGTTGTTTGACCCTTGTCCGAGGAAACCTTACGTGTTGATCACGTGTTTCCTGCTCGGTGACATATGGTTAGTTGCAGAAACCGCCATTAGCGGTCAATTACGTGGATTACTGAAACGCCACACAAGAACATTAAATGGACGTGCGATCTGCCATTCCGATATTTTCTTAAAACTTTAATCAGAGAGTCTTTGGATAATATTGGTGAAAGTTTTAGAAGTATTAACATAATGTGGTCTCTATACAAACGTCAAATACAAGTTTGAGATTCAGATTTTGTCTCTGAATGTGTATGGTAGTTACGAGGTAAATATTAAAGATAATGTAATTTCTAGATTTAATGTGAATTCTTGAGTTAGAACCAGCGTAAATTAAAATTAAACTATACAAATATTTGTGTAATTAATATTATAGAAGCTAATTTTATTATTGGTGCAAATGTTAAAATCAGTAGATTAAAGTTATGGCCAATGTAAATTGATGGTGGGTGTAAAAATTTTCGTGTTTGGGGTAAATACACACTAGAATTATGATGCGTGTAAATAGTTAATTCTAGTGGAATTGTTAGTGTAGATGTCATTAATAGTGGTGGTAATATGTCAATAGCGATTTTTGGTACTTACATTAAAAGTGGGTATACTTGAATCATGTTGGTTTATCAAATACATTTCAATACTAATTAAATCTTCGATGTTTTGGTTCAGGACAATATTCACCAGTTACCAACTGGAGGAGCTTGAGAAAGCCTTCAAAGACGCCCACTATCCAGATCTGTATGCCAGGGAGTTACTCGCCCTCAAGATAGATCTACCTGAGGATAGAATACAGGTAAGTCGCGCTTCCTATCGAGATCTCTCGGGCACTGTTTACGCCTGACACTTGCCCTTATCGTACAGTTCCTTATTTATAATTCTATCTACTGGAATGTAAAACACAATCCCGTTTGAGTGAATATGTTTTGACGCCGTTTTTTAGCATTATGCGAGCAATATCACGGCGGGGAACACCAGAAATGGGCTTCACACATTGTACCCATGTTGGGTATCGAACCAGGGCCTTCGGCGTGACGAGCGAACGCTTTAACTACCCCACCGCCCCTACAATCCCTACAGTGTTTGAAGAAACATGGCGTGAATTAGAAAATCTTTACAACCACTGATGAATATGATAGATTCCATTCTTCTGATGACCTTCTTGATGTTTATCATATCATATAGATTATATATTGTTGTCATTGAGCATATTTTTTCAAGTTTTAACATTATGGATATGGGAATAAACCTACATTGACCACATATGAATAATAATTTCAACCAAAATCGAAGCGACAAATTCAAAACATCCGTCCCACACAATTATATAACACCGGGAGTCGGGAAGAATGTCCCTCTGAATACCTTTTTCAATCTTCTCCGTCAAACGTTCGAAGCGCTATGAAAACTCGATTTGCACACTTCTATTTACGTAGTATTTATCGAATAATTGTTTCAGTTAGGAAACAAATAAAATCTTTAAAAAAGTCTTAAAAATTATTAAGCAATTGTTTTTGTTATTAAAGCAATAATTGAGTCAGTTTACTTACACGACAAGGATGATTGCGTGTTAGGTAACAATATCAACCCTACTACAATTTGTGCAATATTAAACACTAAATTATAAATTCAAGTATAAATTCAGAAAAGACTAATATCGTAATTATTAATTTCAAAATCGTTTAATATTGGAATTGCGTTGCCACCGTGTTCAAGTTATACACGACAGCGTACATGTTGATTACAACTGTGCAATAGATCGGGGAATCCCCGTGAGGTGGCGGTGGCAGTAGCGCACTCACGTGACTTATCAAAACACACCACAGCTGGGAGATACTAGCAGAATTGTCTACGTGAAAGATAGTGCTATTAACATCCATGTCAATCACAGGTGTGAGGGCATCGCTGGCACGAATTGTGACGTAATTATGACGTCATACATTATTGATAGTGTATTCTGCTTGAGTCTTTAGTGCTAGATATTTTTATAATGGAATGTTTTCTTATCAAACATGAAAATATGCGAAATATTTAAGAATAAATATTTACAAACATATCCAAAGTCGGTTGGCTGCCATGATGAGAGGTTTGGGTCGTTTTTTATTATAGAAAATACAACTGTAGTTCTCGTGATTTGAGCTCCGGTGCACATCATGGACGCACCTGTGTGGACATTTGGAAGTAGGACAAAACCGTTATGAAATTAGGAGAGCTTATTGCCCATGTTTATTTATGTTGTGTAATACGCCTGAGACTCGTTGACCCTGCAGGGAGCCTCGTTCTCACATCTGCAGCCTGTATGACATATACTTCCGGTTACATGAAGCGCCACCTGGCGAGTATTCTTCACGGTACCATGTAAAGTTAGAAGAAGCTATCCGAGAGGGAATTTACCATTAAAAAAAGCCCGAGAATAAGCTTAAACGGCCAAACATATTTTATCGTTTGTTTTACGTTGTCTTAGCAGTAAAGTACACTGTTAAAGAAAGCCGACCCACTAACAAAATGTGTCAGGAAGTATTTCAAAATTTATCGAACTTGATTCGGTTTGATGTTATTGCACTGTTTTAAGGTTGTACCGTTATAAATAAATGATTCTATCGCTCGAATATTATAGTTTTTTTCCCTTGTTAATCGAATACGTTTTGTCTCCTCCTAAAAATCATCTTCTTCATCATCATCATCATCATCATCATAGTGATAATGATAACAATAATATGTTACTTATAAAGCGCAAGACCCAAAGGAGACAGGTATACGTACAATACGCCTCTCAACGGAACAGTCATCATTCAAACTCCCTTCTCGACTCCCAGGGGAGTATATCACTCATTTGAGGAATTCCGGAAGAAAATATTTCAGGATTGGTATAAACAATAAAGTGCATTATTAATATGATAAAAGTAAACAAAATCGTTAATTGCAGTAGTGTTGAGTTAGGTGCCGCGTATTTCAGTTGTAGATTAAATTATCAGTCATCTTAAACACACCATTAAAGCCAGTTTCGTAATACAACCCTACAACCACGGAAATCAACGCCCCGAAATCATCACTCCCCTGTCTCCATGAATATTCCCTGTTGGGATTCAACAATACGTAGTCAGTATTTTCCATAAAGCTTTCACAAAAAATAGCAAGCTGAGGCGGGGGGAATAAAAACAAATTAATACATGATAAAGCGAGGTGTAAAAGATGGCTCGATGAAGAGGCGCGGGTCCATTTCTATCCCGCATCTTCTCGGGTGTGCCACGAATCTCAAGCCAACAACTGGATCCCGTCTAGTCGTCACACTAGACGTTTAAGCGTCTAGAAAGCACATCAGCTAATCGCTTTATTTGCCATATCAAAATAAACGAATCCGCGTGGGGCTCGCCTGGTCAGCACTGAGCGTCTTGCACGGGCAACACACATCAAAGATTTCTTTTATAACATTAATCCTATCTCAGCCTAGATTCCGAATTCCCGGTAGTTATCCGAAGCACGTGTTTTCGTCTGTTTTCTCTCAAAATGTTGCCGCACTCTCTCAAGGCAAAGGGGGGCGCGATGCTAAGAGACTTTGTTTTTTGTGCCACAGAATATATTTTTCTTGCACATAACAGCCAATTTAGACGAACGTTTTCCTTGAGATGTTAGGAAAGATGGTTCTCGGTCGGGGTTAATGTTATTGGCTTTTTATTGGGTTCTAAGTGGGCTGGAATGCCAGGGGCCACTGGGTTTATAAAACACTCATAATTTGATATACGAAAACGACACATGTTTTTACAACTGTTATTGTTAAAGTCATTTGAAACACGGCTTCCTACGGCTTGGTTCCGCATCGTTCCCACCACGACGTCAACTACCACAACTGTTGAATATTTCACCAGGAATATAAAATCACGCATTGACTACATACATCATGCATTGGCTACATACTACATCACGCATTGACTACATACATCATGCATTGACTACATACATCATGCATTGGCTACATGCATTATGCATTGGCTACATGCATCATGCATTGACTACATACATTATGCATTGACTACATACTACATTATGCATTGACTACATACTACATCACGCATTGACTACATACATTATGCATTGACTACACACTACATCATGCATTAACTATATTCTACATCATACATTGACTACATACATCATGCATTGACTACATACATCATGCATTGCTACATACATCATGCATTGGCTACATACTACATCACGCATTGACTACATACATTATGCATTGACTACATACTACATCATGCATGAACTATATTCTACATCATACATTGACTACATACATCATGCACTGACTACATACTACATCATGCATTGACTACACACTACATCACGCATTGACTACATACATTATGCATTGACTACATACTACATCATGCATTAACTATATTCTACATCATACATTGACTACATACATCATGCACTGACTACATACTACATCATGCATTGACTACATACTACATCACGCATTGACTACATACATCATTCATTAACTATACACTACATCATGCATTAACTATATACTACAACATCCATTGACTATCTACTACATCATGCATTAAGGACATACACAATCGTGCATTAGCTACATACATCAAGCATTAACTACATACTGCATCATGCATTAAACACATATGATAAAACTCACGAGTTATAAATCACATCCCGTAAATATTCAATATTGTAATATATGTTCTTTTTACATTAGATTACACGTTAAATTCGTTGCAGACATATTCGTTGAATGTTTACGTCAATTTCGTTTAAGAGACGAACAGTTGACATTAGATTACTGTATTCAGTACCATTTAATGACATAGTAGATGACGTGTCTTTGTTTGATCGATATTACATCCTGGTATTTGACGCATCACGTGTGCCATAACCTTTCCTAATACATCATAAGATTTCATATGAACGGTTACTTAGTAAGGCCGCTCCCTTGGTGTAGTGGATAGAGCGTCTGACCGGAGAGCGGAAGGTCGGGTGTTCAAGTCCCGGCCGCGTCATACCAAAATACGTTAAAAGGATTGTTACCCTGCCTGGCGCTCGGCATTAAAGGGCTAAAACAAGGACTGGTCGGCTCTGAGTCAATATACTGTGTCTGAGTGGGGTATTCACGTTAAACTGTGGCATTTGCATGCACACACACACACACACTAACACTAACACTAACACACACTAACACACACTAACACTAACACACACTAACACACACACACTGACACTAACACTAACACTCACTAACACTAACTAACACGCACACACTAACACACACACAGTGCAATAATCTCGAACCCCATTTAGAACAGGATAGTAAAACAAAGACTTGTTTTGTGTGAAACTAAAACCTTATCATGTTAACATACTATGCATTTTTATACCATAATACTATATGTTAGACAAAGGCCTATTCATTAAATAGAATTAAAACGTTTCCCCTTCTCATTATATTCATGTATCGTCACGATGTGACTGAAATATTGCCGATGTGACGTTAAATCTTACCTCACTCACTGTGTTAATGTAAGGCTGTATACTATTTAAACCTGGGCCCCAAAAGTAACTGCACAAAATACTTTGTTTACAACAGATCACCTTTATATTCTTAGGAAATCTACTTTCATACTGCATTTGACTTACTTGTTTTTATTCGATCATACACTCTTTTTTATGACGAAATAGAGATCTATAGTATTTCAAAAATATTCATAATAATCACATAACACGGCTTTACATCAAGGCACGTCTTTCTTGTTCTTTAAAGTATTCTCCGAAAGAAATATGTCCGTTCTTGCTCGTAAAGTTACAAAAGTTGTTGTTGATCCGAAAGTTTACATGTATGCGTTACTTACTGACGCGCAGTAATCAAGATTGACGGTAGGATGTTCGTATTATTCATTATTAGACAGAAATTATTAATACTTGTGGTGTTTACGGATAAATCACTTTGGATAAAAATGGTTCATAAGAAAAGCAACATTTTCCGATACAGACAGCAAAACGAGCCATTTACTTTCATTTTGGACCATTAACTCAGCGACTTGGAAGTTATTCTGTCGGAAAATATTACATGTCCCTTTAACTGAAATAGTTTGTCCGTTTGAAGTCTAACTCGGTAGCCCTGTGTCAGTCAATCTGACACGGTAGCCTTGGGTCAGTCAGTGAACTTACAGTGCAAGTGCAGACGTGTTCACAGATTGTGCACAGAAATAGAATTTTTTTTACTTGTTTATGTATTAGTGATGTTTCTAAACGTTTAACCACGCAACTGTCCATACCATGATTTCTTCGAGTCTGACAGTCATGTGTCATAAATATTCAGAAAACATCACAAAATCCTTAGTTACCCCCCAAAAAGAAATACGTAATTTGTACATCACATATATCATAGTTTGACGGCCCAAATTAAATCCATCGTTTTATCATGTTTAAATATTCCTGTACATTTTATGTAACTATTGCACATTAGTGTTAATATGTAAGTATGGATAATATATAGTGATGAACAACTTCTTTATTACAATTAGAATAATTATTGTCCATCCATATATCTTATCCTTACTTAGTACTCCAACTTCTTGCCTCTGAAAGAGATGTTGATATGTACCCGAGTCAGCAACCATGTCAATAGCAGGGCGTCAATGTTAATACCAAAGTACCGTTACAGCGCGACATATATTCCTTGACTTGAATACATAACGGTTCACTATAGACCTACTACCGAACACCGTTCTCTTTCATAATTCGCATGGTATGCTTACAAGGCGGCCAGGTTTCTCACTCTTAACCCTGTCAAAACACGGAGGCTTTTCATAACAAACTTATCAAGTCCCGCGCCCCTCCTGTGCTAATGCTCCACCGTCAAGCTTCTACAGCGTTAACCATTATCCCCCAATTGCAATTATGGTGTATTCCGTCACAAATGATAATCGCACGATTCAGTCAGCTGGCTTTGATAAAACTTTTCTCCCATTGACTCGACCGCGCTAGCGAAACATTACGGCAAACGTCTGACCTTGTAACCCGTTAGGAACAATTATCCCGATCAAGCGGGATCACCGAAGCGTCCAAACTCGGCCTTTAGACCCTATTACTGGTAGAGAGATTGCCCGAACCGCCACCAACACCGAGGTAATTTACTAAATTAGATATGTGGCCATCGCTTATCCTAATTAAATCACGACAATGTCTTTGTTCATCAGCTAGAGCATCCAATGACGATATCTCGCCCAATTCTCGGCGGCCATGTTGGCATATTGATTTTACTCTCGTCACAACCATATTAATTTGAAATTTTACACCCGGCACCAGCATCACCGCTGGTCTGCACCGTGCCTTGTCGACGCCGCTAGGATAGCGGTTGGTCTTCAGATTTAATGACATTTTCTTGGCTAATGTAATAGTTTAGGTTCCTAATTAGAGATAATCCTCGACCATTGACATTGATTACAAGATTATTTGCACTAACGTTGTCGACTAATACGGAAACATACAAGGAAGGAAATTCAATACAAGCTGTAGATGAACACAGTGATTTTACCTGTAGGAGATCGCTATTGTCTTGTCATAGTGTTGAACGGTTTGAACTGTTTGTGTACGTGAAATGGTGCATTCATTTTAAAAACTGTCATAAGATTATTTTAAAATTCATATGACGCTACAATGAGTAACAATAAAAGATATCGATTCAGTGGATTTGTTCGCTTGATGCAATGATTATAAAACAACGCTAGTAGTCATACTAATAATACTAATACTAATAATAAATGGCAATTATACTGATTGTCTGTTTCAGAATACCTGCTAGAATAAAAAGATATTGCCTGGTGTGACAGTTTTAGTTTCAAAATGTTTTCTTCAACTAGTAGTTGATATTTGGGTAGTGGTGGACTATGGGAATAGTTTTTTTTATTTTAATGGATGAATACTTAAAGGGGGCAAGTTGTACAACCACCATTCATTCATTCATTCATTCATTCATTCATTCATTCATTCATTCATTCATTCATTCATTCATTTGGGGTTGGATCCGCCAAGAAAATATTTGTTTTTCTTTATCAATATTACATCAATCGACTGTCCTGATTACATAGATACAAAATGGGCACTAAACACTTAATCTAGATCTGGATAGGACCTGGCACAAACACATGCAAAGGCAAGTGAATTGTTCACCTGACAAAACACGGGAACATATAGTACACGCGGAGCATAGTCACAATTTGAGGCGGTCAAGATGTTTCAGAATAATAATTCACGAATAGATGTAATATCTTCATAAATCATTTTTTCAGGTATGGTTTCAAAATCGACGGGCCAAGTGGCGCAAAACGGAGAAGACATGGGGGAAGAGCAGCATCATGGCAGAGTACGGACTGTACGGAGCTATGGTCAGACATGCACTTCCGCTTCCGGAATCCATTGTTGATTCCGCAGAGGACGGAATTGATAAATCATGCGCCCCTTGGCTTCTCGGTGAGTATACAGCCGTCATGTTGAGTAGGCAGCGTTGAGTTGGTTGTAGTCACATCAACTATATATAGTGTAAGCCCTTTACTCTGAATCCCGTTACTCCGGACGTTTACTGTTACAGACAGACAGACAGGCAGACAAGTCTAATTTTGCCTCACTCGTAGAATACACTTACAATATATCAAAAACATAAAATTCTACAACCAGTTGCTAGACGACTTGCGAGAGACAACATGTCATTACAATATACAGTAATACACAGCGATAAGATATATACATATATACATCAATGACATAAAATGGAACGTCGCTTTGCTAAAATGTTATGGCAGGTTTATATGCAGCAGAATCTCTGCACTTGTACACAGCAGGTGTGATTCACAATTAACATGTTTCTCGTTTCAACAAATTCAGTAAATGCGATTCGGGTCTCTGTATCTTCTGGGCCATCACTTGATAGTCTGGTCAAAACTTTAGGCCGTATAGTATAGTACTGCTGTGCAACGTCATCAACAAACAAACAATTACTTTTTATGCAAATTGTGTGAGTGACGGGGGTTACAGGGTAGGGTAGTACATGCTTACCCTTTTCGCGAACACCTGTCGTCATCCCCGATCTTCAGTGATCCATGCATATAATTTCCAGCGCTCTTTTACCTTTTTTAAACTATTTTTTGGATTATTCCCTGGCGTTGACGAATTATGATATATTCATATTTGTTAATCTGGGTAATATCACTATCCGTCTGGAATGACAGGATTTCACTGTATGCAATCTTAAAGCACAAGTTCAAACATACTTTGATTCTGCTATAGATTAATAGGATTAAGGTTCCGATGTGATAAGCTGTGTGAGATAATTGTTTAAATTCCTCACAGCAATCCCCCGATCAGTGCAGATCTGTCTTTGATGGAGATAATGGGGGATTAATCCTAATAATATTATGTAAGGAATCCCGACATCTTAGTTTGTTTACGAAGGCTGTGTTTGTCGGTCACACAAAGAAAGATTTCGTGTCTTTTTCACAGAACGTTTTCATATATGCACCTGCCCACGAGTCTGTGGTTGTTGTTTTTTTAACCTTTTGCTTTTGCACCCCGTCCCTCTGCTACAGTATAATGAGGTAAATCGCCGGCAAAAAAATATACATTTTAAAATTGGATTTGACCCAAAAATACAAACATTACGACGCTGAACACAGGGTAAGACTTCCGCCCGTATCCTTCTTCAAAATTAGTAAAATTAAATTGGTTGGGCGGCAATACAAACATATATACATTTGGAGGGGGGATACGGGCGGAAGTATTTCCGAAAACTGTAGCCGAATCACCGCAAAAGTAAAAACTATGATATTAGTATCCAAAACATCACTATCGAATAACCATTTCTTGTTTATATCATTTTTAGCCACCACGAAAGTGAGCGTATTTCTTTTGCCTCAGTTTAGCTATCATTTCACTCCCTTGATTGGTCCTTTATACATCGGCCGTGCTATTAATACGAATTATGAAATATGAATTATTATGAATATGGTTTGAAAATAAAAATGAGATGGAATATGTGCGGTTGACTTCATCCTATTACTGTATGTTCTTGAAAAGCACTTTCTGTTCTTGTGGGGATTCCAGGACTTAGTAAGTCCCCATTTTTATCCATGAGCTTTCTTCTTTCGGGTGGGTAAAAGTTCACCATGCCCAAACGGAGTTGATCGTTCATCGAGCTGTCACTGGATTGTCTGGTCCAGACCTATTTACATGTCTTTGTTGTATAGCTGGAATATTGCTGACGTATTCACTTTTTTAGAATATACACTTTAAAATTTCTTTATGACAATTGCCATTCCAGAACACCCAGTTCCACCTTTGCAATTTACAATGGTTCGTGAATGTAGGTCTATGTGATTTTGACGCTCCCCTTTTATCAAGACAGTACTTTCTCATGTGATGGGTCACGGGTATTAATGCCTCTATGCATCGAGGTTTATATGAAGCATTATTCTTGTAGGTATGCACAAGAAGTCTCTGGAAGCTGCACAGAAGATGAAGGAAGCGGAGGACGACACAACGATGGACAGCAACGACGGTAAACCAAAGGACAAGGATGAACTCAAGTCTGAAAGTATAGCAGCTCTGCGAGCGAAGGCCCAAGAACATAGTGCAAAAATGCTTCAAGCCATCAACAAGGATGGAACGCCCAAAATTGACAGAAAAAATGTCACGAACGAAAATAAAAATAATTTCCAAAATAACATGTCGAACTCAAATGACCTTACACGGCCGAGTCAGTGACTTGTGCAACAAAGTGATGACTTGTTAACGACTTGTGCACATGAAATGATGACGAGTCAGTGACGTGTGCACACACAAGTGTTGACGTAAGCAGTGCTTGCGGTGATCTCTCGTATATCCGCCCAGACTCATTTTTACGAACTATGCTAATTAGCAGTTTTAGCAAAGTCGAGTGAGGCTCAATTGTTGTGTGAATGAGAAAATATTGTGTTGTTTATTATTTGTAATCTTATTATAGACGTATGTTGTGTGTTAAAGATGGGCCCATATATGACAAGTGAAATGGTAATAATTTGCTCAATCTTGTCATTTCCCAAGACGTTATCTGTGCTGTACTGTTCTATTTCATAGGCATGTCCCGTAAAGTGTGTCACGTGATGTGGGGGCTGTGCGAACAATATTTCCCAGTTATCATGTAATGTTTAAAGACAACTCGTAGATGTCTCAGTTGGTTTGACTGAGTGGGAGTTTGAGTCATATTTCAGCAATATCACACCGGGAGAAGCCAATCATTGTATTCACATATTGTACACATAGAAATCGAACCCGGGTCATATGCGTGACGAGCGAACGCTTAACCACTAGGCTATCCCAGCGCTCAGAGGCCCACTGAAAGGTATGGAACTTGTACCTCATCTCAAAGTAAGGTGACCATGGTTTGAACCACGTTTATCTGCATCTAATATGGCCTTTGGGTGATTAATTTATTTATTGCATAAATGCTTCACAATGTGTCAAATAACAGATTTGAATAGTCCAGCGATGTGTTCATGCAATGTGTTCATGCTTTAAGATCGATTCCCGTTTTTGGAGTGAGTGGGTTGTGTTGTACGGCGCTTATAGCAATATTCCAGCAATATCACAAAATCAGCAAAATCGTCACAACCCGGCTTCACACGATGTACGTTGTATGGAATCGAACCAGGGCCTTCGGCGTGACAAGCGAACACTTAAACCACTTGCCTACACAACCCCCTCTTCCTGGTCCCATGAAGTATCAAAAACATTTTACGCAATAAGAGACTTTGTGTCAGCACCATTACTCGTTCTGTCCAAAACAAAATCATCAAGGAATATTTTGATTTTAAAATTTCGATTATGATTTTAATTTTAGTAATTTTCAAACCTTAAACTTAAACCAGCCTGGAGTCACTTATCCAATTCGTCACATAGAAACCAATTTTAGATTACACAAATATGTTGTAGGTGTGACCTTGATATCTCCGCATGTTCATGACGTTTGTAGAACCACTATAGTTTCGCCTATGCATCTGTGTACATGCCTGTACATACCAATGTTAATAAGAATCGGCACTCTTGTCAAGTAATCAAGCTTTAAGTTAGCAATTGTCTTTGCTCATGAAATAGTTATTTACTAGACTGTGAGCACTGGTCAATGAGTCCCTTAACAAGTATGTGTATTCTAGCACTGGCTTGTACCTCTGGGTGTGACAAATGTCTGCACTGAATCTCGTGGTTGATAGTTGAGGCTGTCACCCTGTGTACTGTTGGTGCTATGTAACATGTATATCAGAAAGTAAACTATTTTGAAATACAATGTAGTTTATTTGCGTTTGTTTTATTTTTGTTTGAAAAAACGGTTACGTTTTAAGATTGGTTACAGAGAAACCAACTAGATAACTTCTCAAGCTACTTATGGTATTCCAAAGAGGAAGGTCTTCATTTCCAATGCTTGTCGCCAGATCCGACTATTATGTGGATTGGGTGGTCACAATGTGCGATTTGGTTGATTGTGTGTCAACATAATCTATGGCGTGAATTGCTCTTCGTTCACAATCACTCGTCACCACTCGCCCCTTTCCGTAACCCGCAAGAAGACTCGTCTCCCTGTCGATGAATGTTATGTGCGAAAATACGACAAACCAATCAGAATGCGCGTATGATTTCAAGTTCTTCGTCAAAGAATCCCTCAGAAATAATTTTTGATTTTACATATGTCTTGCATCTAAAAAAAATAACCAAGACACAGTAACATGTCCAGCTGTGCTTTAAATTATATATGTGAACCACTGCGCAACGAGTTGACAATTATTTCAGGTCTGCCCGTTTGCGCTAAGACTGAACCCAGTCGCAAAATCGGGCATGCGAGGGGCACGAGTCGCTATTTAGCTTGTCCCGGAATAACACGAGTTGGTCACGAATGCGTTCATAATGACGATGGTCGTACATACATTAGCACTGTCGCGATGCCACACTCACGATGGCTTTATATATAATAATAAAGATAACATATTAATTACCCATCTCCTGGACACGATTAAAGCTGGATATATAGGGAAGAGGTCGATATTGGAATATTATATTTTAAAATCACATTTCAATTTGAATATATGGCAAAGTATATACCAAGCGAAGGATTGACATGGATATTGTATAGACAGGAATTGTAAAATTGATTATATGAAAATGAACGATCGATATTGAAACCCTTTCGATTAGCTATGGAAGAAGTGTGTGTCTCTGTGTGCGTGCGTGCGTGTGTTTTGATGGAGGAGGGAATTATGTGTGTACAAATTAATAAATTCATGTTCAAACAAAAGAATCGACCTTTCTGCATAATATTTTTCGCAAAGGACGAATCTATACCCTTTATTTCGGAATTAGCACACCGGAAACTATAAACCATCATAAGATTACCAGACATCTTTGTTTTAAGGGGCACTTATTGCCAAATAGAGCATTGTGACAGAAAGTAGTTCCCGATAGAGTATGGTCAACAGACATGTGTGTTAATCCGCTTTATCAACGTCAACAAATGACGTTAAGCAAAGTAGGCCACTTTGTCCATCCAGACAACCAGCCACAATACCAGAATGTGGACAGCCAACGGCATTATCAAGCCGTGTAAACTCGTGGTCAAGCACGTTCTGCTCCCCTCTGACCACATTCTGACACAGGTGTATAGGGTAAGGGGGTGGAAGCCCTCAAAAACCTTTTTACGTGACAAAAGTGACAAGGCGTACGTGACGTCTACAGCTAAGAACACCATGGTTGAAATGTGGGACCCATCCTCAGGGCAAACCCCTCCCATGATCAACGCGAAGAGCCAAGCCTATTGTATGTCTCTCTTATGAACACTTAAGCTGTGTAAGTAAATTGTTTGTATTGTTGTGAAGGTATGTTTTGGAAGTCTTTTAACAGAAGGAAATACTTATAAGCTACCTTGAGTGATAATTACCCGCTACTTGTTGTAGTTTGCTGGAAGAAGTTTTTCGACTGTATTTTTAACACGTTAATACCACACATAGGTATTTGTAGCTAGAACGGCTCTTATAGCTACTGGTATAAACAGCCTCGACGTTCACATCGTCCAATCGACCGCCTCCGTGGTCTAGTGGTAGAGCGTCCGCCCGGAGAGCGGAAGATCCGGGGTTCAATCTCCGACCGCGTCATACCAAAAGACGTTAAAAGATGGTACTTGTTGTTACCCTGTCTGGCGCTCGGCATTAAGGGGCTAAAACAAGGACTGGTTGACTCGGAGTGGGGTATTCATGTTAAACTGCGGCATGGTATCTCAGTGTGCTAGCACTATAAATTGGCATCAGTCCGGACTAGTACAAGCAGACACACACACACACACACACACACACACACACACACACACACACACACACACACACACACACACACACACACACACACACGTAAAAGTGCAATAAGTTTTAACGCGACGTTAAAACCCATTTCACTTCACCTCTCTCCGACGTATTGACCATCCTGGACCCGTGAAGATCCAGGTTAGAATAGATCGTCAGCAACCCATGCGTGCCGTTAAAGGCGAGTATGTTTGTCGTAAATGGCGACTAACTAGATCTGGACATTAGTCCGGACAAGTACAAGCAGCCACGCGCATGAGAGTCGCTTTCTAAGTGCAGTGATCTTTAACGCGACGTCACTTTACCTCTTTTTTTTTTTAAAATACGCTCGCCCTCCCGCTTCCTCTTCCTGCTACAAGTACACAGTGTCAAAAGCGTACCTTCACTTGAAAAATGCAATAATCTTGAACGCGACGTTAAACCAAATTTCACTTCACCTCACCTCACCTCATCTCATCTCATCTCACCTCACCTCACCTCACCTCACCTCACCTCGTCCATTCCGCTTGGGGTGCCTTTATGAAGAGGTTTATGTCTTTTGAGACTGTTTTTCTCTGCCTTGGAAGTAGCATTTATGTGACGTATGTGAGCGGGTAGATCGGGAATGGGTAAGTATTCTGGAGACATTCTTTCTACTTTTGTCCATGGAGACTACGGAAAGAGATGAACTTACTAGTATTATGTACAGTTGTATCAGAAAGGCACATAAACATAGTCACAGATATATACTTTGCCATCGCCACACTGACTCACATACAAGAGTGAGTGGGTGAGTGTGTTTTTACTCCGCTTTTAGCAATATTCCAGCAATATCACGGCGGGGGACACCAGAAATGAGGTTCACACATTGTACCCATGTCGGGAATCGAACCCGCTTTAACCACTAGGCTACCCGACCGCCCCCACATACAAGGAGAAAAATGGATACTAATATATATAGCATTGTCAGAGTAAAGATATATTTATAATACATAAATAGCATCACAACGGTTGTATATACAATATAATAATGAATTATATTAGTGTTAACGGTAGATATAAACATGTAGACATATATAGCATGGCCACAATATGAATATCATCAATGACAGACATATACAGGGAGCCACATGTATCAGTATTTCGCAATGTATATATACATTGACATCGCCTCAATGACACACTTAAAAAGTTGATATTTACATCATTATAATGATTTATTGGAACAGATGACATCATGTGCCTTGTGACAATACCTTAAAACAAATATGTTGAAAAAATTGACACAAAAGTAATAATTTATTCATCTATAACAAAAATGCTATGCTAACTATAGTCCCCGGAATGTTTGACAATGTTAATAAGTCATAAAATCGTTGTATGAACTCCGAGTCTTTTAATCCCATAGCTATAAAGGTGATGAGAATGGGATGACGCTAAAGATGAAAAGGGATGAAAATGGGATGCTGGAGGTTGAGAATGGGATGCTAGAGACGGAAAGGGGATGAGATTGCCAATGTTCTTTTTGTATTTTATAAGTGTCCTCGCGGACAGGATCTGTACCAGAACATACACCAGCGTCTTTCAGTGTTCGAATATAATGCATCTCACTACATTGTAAAATATGTATTTAGATCTTAAACACAAGCCGAAACACGTTCTTTGTTCAATAATAAAAAAGCGTTCAGAGGCCTTGACATGTTTATATTTGTGCTTAGAATCTAAACATGCTTATGCCTTTCAAAAGCGTCTTATGGATGATTAACAAAATATTGAACACGTTTAGATCTGAACATGTCAAGCATGTGTTAAGTACCTTAAGTACCTTGCAGTGTGGGGAGTGCGCGCTTCACTCATCTCATACACTGAATACCACATGAATCTACGACCCATATGACTCGACCCGTGAAGATCCGGGATAGAACAGGTCTTCAGCAACCCATGCTTGCCGTAATAGGCGACTATGCTTGTCGTCAGAGACGACTAACGGGATCGGATGGTCAGGCTCGCTTACTTGGTTGATGCATGTCGTCGCATCCCAACTGCGTGGATCGATGCTCATGATGTCAATCACTGTATTGTCTGGGCCAGATTCGATTATCTAGACCGCCGTCATATAGCTGGAATATAACTCAACTCATGAATAACAAATACAAATTCACCCTTGATAAACCAGTGTATTATATCTCCATTCAATAAATACTCGGGACGCATTAGCCACAATATTTTTCTTAGTCCGATTCCACACTAAAAATAGCAGTCCAATCAAATTATACTCATGAGCGAGAGAAAATCTGTGCGAACTCCCTAATAACACAGACGGAAATGGTGATGGGTAAGCGAACGTGGCAAGGGTATTTATCATAACATAATGGATATATACTACCCTGGATAATCGAAGATGACCAAGTCCAATTGAAATTAAAACAACAAATTCAGGAACCTGTTGTTATGTTACAGTTCGCGAAACCGGTTAGCATATCCTGCCTGACAGACAAGACCCGTTATGAGTGGAGTTCAAGGTCAATAAAGTCGGCCCCAGAAAACATTCTACGTTTTACGAAATATTGTTTTCATATATACTCCGGCAGTAGAGAGATTATAAAATAAAATGTCAATCGTTTGATAAATACATGTTTACATCATTACGTAGACCTTATATAATTTGTTTCTGTCTATTAAAACATATATCTATATATTAGTATCTACAAAGACCACCTTTTACTGTTAAGCGCGAAGGCAGTGAACAGCTGGATAGGTCCTATTTATTAAAACACTATTTATGTTAAAAAACTTTTTTTAAATCGTCATTGATGAATATGCGAGGCATAATTAAATGTCATCAAGCCGATCAGTCATCCATTAGTCATACACTCTGCCAAAATCTGCATCCACAATCATATACTCAAGTTTGCCTGTGGACGAACAGTGGGTTGCTTTAATCAGTCAGTGACATAAAAAATGGT